TTTGTGCCCTAGAAGTTACAAGAGTCTCTACACTCTCCTACTGTTTCAAAAGATTCACTGGCTGCTTGCTTTTCAGTACCAATGGAACCATCTCCGACGCTTATCCGTATCATTGGATTTACTAGACGATTCCTTTATCGGATTTACGCTGATTCTTGCAGCGTTTTTCACTGCCCATTCGCCAAAACTGGGTGAAGAAACCAGTTCTTTCATCGCCTTTTCCGTGCTCTCTCTAGTGAACTTTTCCAACTCCCCTTTGTTAACTTTCTTCTCCCTTCTGGTGTGTTTTGTGGAATGACGAGGGAAAGGTATCTGAATCAGATAACAGCGTTGTCATCAACATCTTGTTGACTCCTGCAATGACCATAATAAAACCTGGTTCTTTAAAAACATTACAAAAGTAAAGGGCTAGTGTTGATGAAATTAGACCATTAAAGACACAAAAAGAAATAGAAGAAACAAAACCTCTAGGAAGAGGAGAAGCAAATGTAGTAGCATGGATTAAGCCGCGGCTACAATTTTTGGTTTCATCATCTTGCACATAGTTTCTTTGCAGTAACAGCTTTCTCCGGATAATCTTTAGAATTGATGAGATTAGAATTCCAGTTATCAACGCTCCTCCAGCAAGCAAGGGATCAACAGAGCTCTGTTAGTTAACACAAGATCATGACTTCATCTTCATGTTTGGTTATGATTAAAGAGGAATCATAAGCAGTAGAAATGAAAAATAAACGAATAGAACCTGAAGGATTAGAACCACAGGAAAAACTCGGATGGACCAAGAGACAAAGATTGTCGCGGTAATGTCAATAGAACCATCTTTTGTCACAAGAAATTTCTTGACAGTCCAAACACCTGACCATGCTCCAAACATAAAGACAAACACACCCAAAATCATCGCTACCTGCAAATTTCACATAAGCCGTGTTAGATTCATCAAACCGGAATAAGTATATGTGACATAACAAAATCTAAGAACATAAAAACTTACATGCAGGGATGTTCAAATCTTCACTGATTCCTATCTGTATTAGCAGATGTTGAACTAAACCGCGTAAGTGAAGAAAGTGACTTCCCACACCAATCTGAGAAGTAAAAATTAGTAAATGTTCGATTAAAACAAAAGAGGTCGAAGAAGAGACCAATCTCACCATGGACGAGTACAGAAATAATTCAAGACGGCTCTTCCCTCTAGTTGGTAGACGCTTTATCCCCTGTTCACAATCGTTTATCGTGTTAACCAGAGGGAAATCATGAAATATACGTAAGAATTAATGTTGACTATTTTGAAAACTTTCACCTGATTAATGGTAAGAGTTACAAGAATGATAATCCCAATTGACATGGCACCACTATAGTAAAATGCTAAGGATTTACTAAGTGTAGAAGCCGAAGTCAGCAACACAATCCCAATGATTAAAAACACAATAAGGTACATGAAAAACTCTGCAAAGCGGTAGAGGGATAGATGATAAGTTTAAGAATTTGCAAAACAGAGAGATTATATACAACAAAAACCAAGAAAAACTCTACCTTGTTTAGCAGAGAGCTCCAAGGTAAGTTTAGACGAGCTACCAAAAGTTCTTATATCGATGATCTTGTAGTCGA